TTATTTTTAGTTCAAGAAAAATTTGTAGGAACATCCAAAATTTGCAACTGTAAATGAGACTTTCAAAACCCAGTTTCACGGGAGTTGGGTTTGACTTTGAGAAAGGGAAGCTAGCTTGGAAAGTTTCAAATATTTCAGTCAAGTCTGAGCAGGTGTGTGAACTTTGGTCGGTGAGCTTTAATGTCGTCTTTTTCACTCACTTCCCTTATGTATTTCGGGAGTCATGTTTGTATTTGGCCCTACACATTAAGCCCTCTTAAATCAATTAATTTGAAGATTATTGTACAGTCCCTTTTTGATTACTAAGTTGATTATCCTTTTTGCTTGTTATCATTAATTTCAATATTGCACGATTGTTAGAAGTCAAGAAGCTTCGAGCATTTGTATCTATACTTGCTTTTTGGGTCATATTTTAACTTGTGTCCGCTTTCCAAAAAATATTGCAAGCGTACCCACTTTTTCGCGTAACTTCAGCATACGGGACTGAAGTAGTAAAGGCAATCACGCAAAACTTCAGCATTCTAGTAGACGGGACTGAAGTAGCAAGTGTGCTGAACCAAGTGTGCTGAAGTTTTTGTTTGTAATTGCTGAACTTAAGCATAGTAGCTGAAGTTTTGATCTCTATTTGCTGAAGTTTTTGTTTGTAATTGCTGAAATTTTTGTTTTTGTAACTGGCGAACTTCAGCTCTAGAGCTGAAGTTTTTGTTTTGTAACTGGCGAACTTCAGCTCTAGAGCTGAAGTTTTTGTTTTTGTAACTAGCGAACTTCAGCTCTAGAGCTGAAGTTTTTGTTTTATAACTGGTGAACTTCAGCTCTAGAGCTGAAGTTTTTCTTTTGTAACTGGCGAACTTCCGCTCTAGAGCTCTAGGGGCATTTCGCGTCTCCTTTTGTTTATCCTCAGCTCTGCTTATATTCCCTACTGTCTGTTTCTTAAGTTTTATGCTGGCATATTATTTTGGTCCAGTTGGGGTAACTAGTCCTCCCACTATTGGGAATTCCATATCAGTAATATTCCAGTAGTCCATGATCTTGGTTGTTCATCTAATGATGCATGAATTGCATCTGATGTCTATTGTTCAGGTATTTGATGCAAAGAAAGACTTTCAAGGAGTAGGAATTGATAACTTGTAAAGAAAACAAGAGAAGGTAACATTTAAGAGTACACCAAGACAGAGAACTTGTCCCCTTCTTTGACGAAATTCATCTCCCCACCTAGTTTCATGAACCTTACTTCTGGAAAAAGAAAAGATAAAACTTTAAGGAGGAGAAGGAGGAGGAGAAAGGGGGCTGAAGTTGTTTAAAAAGTGGGTACAAGTTAAAACTTTTAAAAAAAATGGGTATAGGTTAAATGGGGGCGACCAAATAGGGCACCCCATTCAATTTTTACAGAAACTTCTATGTCAAATCCAAAATATTTCTTTTATACCATTTTGTATGTGGTACTTATTGATTTGACTAAACTAAATTCCTCAATAATGCATAAGGCCCATTAAAGTGATATTTGTATCTATACCCGCTTTTTGGGTCACGTTTTAACTTGTACCCACTTTGCAAAAAAAATTGCAAGCGTACCCACTTTTTCGCGTAACTTCAGCATACGGGCCTGAAGTAGCAAAGACAATCACGCGAACTTCAGCATTCTAGTAGACGAGCCTGAAGTAGCAAAAATTGTTGAACCAAGTGTGCTGAAGTTTTTGTTTGTAATTGTTGAACTTAAGCATTCTAGTGCTGAAATTTTGTTTCCTATTTGTTGAAGTTTTGTTCTCTATTTGCTTAAGTTTTTCAAAAAATTTCAGCAGAAGATGCTGAAGTTATTTAGTTTATTTGTAAAAATTTCAGCACTAAATAAGCTGAAGTTTTTTTGTCCTAGATTCATTAGTTTTGTCATAAAGATTTTTCAAAAACTTCAGCAAAAGATGCTGAAGTTATTTAGTTCATTTGTAAAAACTTCAGCACAAAATAAGCTGAAGTTTTTTTGTCCTAGATAAGCTTTTTCAAAAACTTCAGCAAAAGATGCTGAAGTTATTTAGTTCATTTGTAAAAACTTCAGCACTAGATTGTCACTGCCGTGCGGGAAAATCAATGTCACGAGCAATTGCGGAAGCTGAGAGAGAATTGGATTTTGAATGCTGATGATGATTTTATTGATGAATGAAAGCTGATTTCAAAAGATGCGGTGTCGAGGGGAGAGACACTAGTACAGAAAATTGATTGCTTGAAAAATATTTGATTGCTTGATTACCCCTAACAATGCTTAAAAAAAATATAACCAAAGTTACATGACTTGCCCTAATAAAGCTATAGAAGCACACTGAATGAAAATGATGTAAACTAGCCTATAATTACAATGAAAAGGACTTAGTTTATTACAATGTAGAAACAAGTCCGATGGCAGCAACTTTGTCTTGCGGGTCAGGGTCTGCGCGCGCGGTGCTGTTGGCGCGTGCGACACTTGTTGTGTTTGCCTGAGGCTGGGCTATGGTGCTTGACATCAGGGTCTGTGCGCGAGGCGCTGCTGGAATGGGCCTGCAGTTGGGCGCTGGCGAGGCATTAGGATCTGCGCGCGCGACATTGTCATTGTGCGCGATGTTGTTGTCATTGGCCAGCCGCTGGGCACTGGCGAAAGGCATCAGTGGGGTGACAGAGGCACATACGCGCTTGTCACTTGGTGCAGCCAAGACCACGGGGCCGACCATGGCGCTAGGCATTGTGAGGCTTGCTAGGCCGCCATGGGCCCGGCCAAGGGGTCATGGGGCGTATCTGGAAAGCAGCCCATGACATTCTCCCCCACCTGAGTTGGCATCGTCCTTGGAGCCATGTCAGGATGATGTTGATGATTGTTCTGGTGGTTGATGGTTGGGAAGTCTACGCCCCTCTGTTCTTTGAGTTTGATTTGGTAGCGATGCAATGATTTCATGCGGCTGGCATGAAAGACTGGATGAATCTTCCACCAGGATGAGGTTTTCACCTGGTATGTGAACTTCTCAATGCGTTTTTCAATGGGCAGGGGCCCGATGTATTTTTGTTGCAGGCGAGGGTCATGGGTCTTATCTGCAAACAAGTATCGCTTTGGGATGCATAACATTACTTTGTCCCCTGCTTGATGATGGGCAAAGCAACGATTATGTTTGGTGAACCTTTTTGCCCGCTCTTGGGCTTTGACGAGATAGCTCTGCACTATCCCCATGTTGCGCTCCCATTCGCTCGAGAAGTTGGCAGCTCGCGGAGATTTTGGCATGGTTGATGTATTCACCGTTTGCGGGAGAAGCGGTTGCTGTCCGGTAACAATTTCAAAAGGGCTTTTGTTTGTATGATGGCTCTTTTGAGAATTGAAACACAGTTGAGCAGCATCCAAGAGCTTCACCCAATGCTTCTGTGACCCGATTGCAAAGTTGCGGAGATATTCCTCCAGCATGTCATTGAACTGGTTTGGCTGGCCATCCGATAGTGGATGGATGTCTGAGTTGTGACTCAATGTCGACCCAAAGCACCTGAAGGGATGGGTCCAAAAGTTGCTAGTGAAACGTGAGTTGTGACCACTAACAATGTCTTTGGGTAGGCCCCAATGTTTGACAATGTGCGAGAAGAAGAGTCGAGTTGTATCTTCTGCGGAGATATTTTGTGGGGCTGCTATGAATGTTACATAGTTTGAAAACTGATCTATGACAACGAAGATGGATGCAAGATTACCGACTTGGGGTAATCCCGTGATGAGTCTGAGGGAAACACTTTCCCATGGTCTTTGTGGGACATGTAATGGCTGCAAGGGTCCCGTCTGTGATGAATGATCCAACTTGTCCTTGTGGCATGGCTGACAAGTCTTCACATGCTGAGGAGCGTCACCAGTCTTTTGAGGCCGATGACATGATAGCTGATTGTTGTTGTAGAGTTATTTAGTTCTTTTTTAAAAACTTCAGCACTATATAAGATAAAAATTTTGAAAAAGCTTTCTGATATACTGGATAAATAATCACCTTATTCTTTCATAGTGTATTACTACTATAAAATTTTCAGATTGCCAACAGTATCTAAATCATAAATTTTGGAAACAATAAACGTGAAAAGAACATAATTATCATGAAAAGAATCACTAAGTGTGACTTTAAACTTCTCGTACGTGGAAATATTCACAAATTATTATCTACTAACTTACGTAATTATTTATAATTTATTTTTAAATATTCTGATAAACATACTTATGGCAGTCATCTCATGAACTGAAGTTTCATAGCAGCACCGACAACAATAGAAGAAAGAAGAAAAAGAAGAAAATGAAGGAGGAGAAGGAGGAGGAGAAATGAGGCTGAAATTGTTTAAAAAGTGGGTTCAAATTAAAACTTTTTTAAAAAAATGGGTATAGGTTAAATGGGGCGACCAAATAGGGCGCCCCGTGCAATTTTTACAAACACTTTATATTAAGGGTTTCTTCGTTGCCGAAACTCGAATCTAAAACGTATAATTAAAAGTGAAGGGTTCCATCAGTGGTAGTGCCACCTTATCCAAAGGCCCCTTTGTCGGAAAAGTTATACCGCATCGCTAGATAAATTTTTTTATATGAATATATTATTATAGGTTGATTCTCCCTGATTTTTTCGTGTGTTTACTTTTTTATATTTTGATACTTTTTACTGTTTGTTTGGATGGTTGTTACATATTCTATTGTATTGTATGTTATTATTACTACTGTAAATACAATGTTTGTTTTGATTGTTACTTAAATTTTATCGTATCGTATTGTTAAATCCATTGTTACGTAACGGCGAAAAGTGTCACTTTATGAAACGTCGGATTTGGTGTGGTAACGTCGTTTTCTTGCTTTTCTCTCATCTTGCCCTTACTTATTATTAAATATTCATATTTTATTATTTATCCTACTTTTTTATATAATAATTCTACTCCATATCCTATTTTTTTTGTAATAATATAGCAAGTTTATTCTTCATATTGTTAGTGACGAAACGACGGTAAACAATACAATCTATCCAAATATTGTGTTCATCAAACAATACAATACAATACGATACATTATGAAACGACGTGTAACAACAATCCAAACAAATTGTTAGTGAAAATCCTGACTCAGGCTCTAGATTTCAGCCATTCCTTATTCCACCATTATCCCTTGGTGGTGCCAAATCCAAGATACTTACAACTCCCATACTAATGACCTAAGGTCGAATAAAGAAAACTTGAAATAATTGTTCTTTTTCTTTTTCTGGTAGGTGGTGAAGAGGGGAATGCAAATCTTTAAACAATCTGAAGAAGCAAAGAGCTTCTAACTAATACAGACATCACATGTCCCACAATATCACTTCTTGAGGTCTGAACTTTGAGTCTGCAACTAAACTAACACACCAAATAGGCAAATACCATCAAATTCAACTCCCTTGATTTACGGCACTCTTTTTTTGAGACTTGATATCCCTCTCACGGACTTGAATTTCATTACCCGCCACCCCTCAATCTTATATTTATATTCAATTGCATATATTCCCGGTAAACTACAAACTATAACTTCCTCCCGACCACAGCTTACAACTTTCACATACGAGCAATTTTTTTCAAAATCTCACTCAAAAGGTACTGAGTTGAAATTCCATTCTAACAAAAGAGTGATCGATGGCAGTCGCAACGAGTTCCAATTCCCGATCAAGCACTGAGCTTTTGATCCCTAAGAAATGGAATCATAGGGAGATCACTTCTCCTGAGAGAAACATGATTTGGATTGAACCAAAACCTAAGGCTTTCAAAACTGTCCCTGTTATTTATTATCTTTGCAGAAATGGCCAACTTGAGCATCCTCATTTCATTGAAGTTCCATTCTCTTCCTCCGATGGACTCTATCTCCCAGGTAATTAATTGCATAACACTATATTGACTGTGATTTATGGAATTTTCCGTGTGTTAAAATTAAAGAGTTGTCAAATATAACACTATATTAAGTGTTGATTTTTGATTTGCTCTTATTCTCAGATGTGCTAAATCGGTTGAATTTACTGAGAGGAAAAGGCATGGCTTACTTGTTCTCCTGGTCTTGCAAGCGGTACTTTAGTTTCTGCAACAAAAATAATAATTTATCTTTCAGATAAAATAAACGAAATTTTGCAATTCTATGTATAAAATTTGATGATTTTCTACAGGAGCTACAAAAATGGATACGTGTGGCACGATTTATCGGAGAACGAATTGATTCATCCAACTAACGGTCACGATTACGTTCTCAAAGGATCGGAGCTTCTAGAAACTTCAATGAGTTCCCGATTTTGTGAAATTTCACGTTCTGATCACTCGGATGAAAATCGCGATTCTTCTTCTTCGACTACGGCGATCATGAGGAGGAGGAATCAGTCGTGGAGTTCATTCGAGAATCCTCGACAAGAGTATAGTGTAGTGTACAAGTGTGAGTCCGGGCGAGAAATAGCCGGAAAATTCAATTCATCGGAGGCTGCGGCGGCGGACGCGGCGACACAAACGGAGGAGAAGCGGAGGGAACAGGAGAATAAGAGTGTGGAGCTGAGCAGAGAAGAATTGTCTCCGCCACTGTCGATGGATAGTTCTGATGGAATCGAGGGTGGGAGTGGATCGAAGGGCGTTGATCAAACGGCTGGGAATGAGTTTAGCAGTGGTGGTAGAATGAGGGCGTCTCGTGTTGTGATGCAGCTTATTACTTGTGGATCGTCCACCTCAGTTGACTGCTCGATGACAAAAGGCCAAAATAGGTCCAAATATTAATTAAAATAATGCTGCTGTCCAAGGGACCTCAACTTTATCTAACTTTTTCTTCTTTTTGTCAATCATTCAATATGTAATGCGAATTAATATATTTCTTGTTATAAATATATTATATTATGGATGTTCATTTAATACTTCGTTGTAAATGAGTTTTCCTAAGAAATTTATTCATATGGGACTTCGCCATAAATATGTTTATCTATTTAGTACTCTACTGGAAATAAGCCTCCTGAAGAAGCTTATCATTTCGGTATCCGGTTATGGATAAACATTACCCCCGGTAGAAGATTATCCATATCGGGTATAATAAGCTTATGCTTTCGATACTCCGTTATGGATAAACATTACCCCCAGTAGAAGATTATCCATACCAGATATAATTAGCTTATTCTTTAGTACTTCGTTATGGATAAACGTTACTCCCAGTATAAGATTATCTATACCTGATACAATAAGTGTATCCTTTCAGTACTCCCTCATGGATAAACATTACTCTCAGTAGAAGATTATTCATATCTGGTATAGTAGCAGCTTACACATCAGCTTATAGTAGCAGCATGCAGCAACTTACACAGCAGCTTGCAGTAGCAGCTTCCTTTCTTCTATAAATAGAAGAGATTTCAGTTCATTATGTACATGAATTTGAAAATCGAATAATAAATCTCCCTCTCTCTCTACTTGTCTTTGATTTCTTTACTTTAAAGTCTTTATTTTATAACACGTTATCAGCACGAGACTCTGCCATTTTGAGCACTTACTTCAAATTTAATTTCAGTGTTCATCTCCGATGTATGGCGTCGCTCTTACATCCGTGGTAGATCTTGTTCATTCCGAGCATCATAAGGCAGATTATATCCTTGAGGTGGTGAGCTTTTCTTCTTGGCGGTAGAGATGTGGATATCACTTACGTCTGGAGTGGCCAAATTTGTGTGAAGTAATTTGAGCCTTTTGCTTATATTTGGTTAATATCTTTATCATCGCTTGCTTGGTTATATTCTACGTATACAGTACCTATTTTGGTATTTATTTCATTCATCCTAATTATCATAATAAAGGATTATAAAGTGGATAACATTGTTAGATCCACTTAAACTCCAACAGAGTTTGTAAGAAATATATAACCACCAAAAGTGGTTATATTTTGTATATCTCATTGTAACTAAATTTTGTTAACCACCAGAAGTGGTATATGCCTATAACCACCAGAAGTGATAATTTAGGCTTTCTATGGTCACAATTGAAGATAAGTTAGAAAAAAAAAATTTCTATATTACTTGCATGCCTCGATTTGCTCCCGAAGTAGCAATATCTTAAAAGAGGTTCTAAGCTATCACACAATTTGGTGTAATTAATGCACGTTCAGATAATTATGTTCTCGTTCCCTGAAGGATGGGAACTTTTGATAAATATTAATTCATTCCCTGAAGTGAATGTAACAATATTAATAAAGCTCGTAAATATGAATGCGCTTTTGATGTAAATATATTACAATTCACCTCCAGAAGAGGTAATATGATTGAGAGAATATATATTCATTTTTCAATTTGCTCCTGAAGAAGTAACACAATTGAAATTTTCTCCTGAAGCAGAAAAATACTATATAAAATCGAAAATGAAATAAAGAAAATTCCATGAATAGATAGAGTCAACGGTACGACAGACAGCGCTGCCTACACGCGAATTAGCTTCCGAGGTTGAGCAGTCTCAATTTCACTACAGGATTTGCGAATGAATGCTGGGCTGGGCCACCTCGAATGGCGTGAGCCGCATGCGGGGAGACCCGCACGTACGGTTTTTAGGGGGATCTGGTCGAAAAACCGGCCGGCGCCCACCCGACTAGAGGGACTGAGAAATTAATTGAGTACAAAACTTATCTTCAAGCTTTACCTTATTCTGATGATTATGAAACAGTGTCTTTCTGTGCTTAAATAAAATAATAAGCTATTCAAAGTTATTTTTGAAGCGCATTGTCATTCCCTGGAGTGAATGAAGAAATACTACAACTCACCTCCTGAAGAGGTAGAATAACAAAGGATAAAATCTTGTTTTTGTGGCATAAAGATCATTGTCGCATGTACTCGTTGTATATAAAATATCTTGGATAATTTTATTAAATATCACTCCAAGGCAAAAGTATTCTTGTAGAATGTTTTCTACTACAACCACATTAATATGTTATGGTTAGTTATCGAGTTTCCCTAAGAAAATAACAACTCGTATATCTTTCCCTGAAGTATGTAATGACTATGTGGTTACCGCTTTGATATAAAATATTCAGATGTTAATGGCGTTTCTCCCTGAAGGAGATATTTGTCACAAAGTTGGTGGTAAAATACTGAAATTCTTAATTTCTTACATTTATAAATTTAGAATTGTCTTTATAATATTCATTTGATTATGATTTTCTCTCATGATACCAGAAGTTTTTGAGTAATATTTGATAGTACAAAATATATCAATAACTCCTGAAGAGCTAACTGTTTGTCTAGAAGACACATGATACAAGTGGTGTCTGATAAATATTAGATTGTGGATAATAAACGAAGGTTCTCGAAGAGCTTATATACAAATATGTCATTCATATTATATGATTATGACCAAATAATATGTTGTAGTAAACCTGAAGTTTACCAATACAAATGGCTATTATATTGAGACTACAAACGATTGAAAGATTGAAAATCTTCATATTTCCATGATCATAGGGGGTAAAATAATATGTATGTGAGAAGTTACCCGCCTTATTCTTTAATTTGTACTATATCATGTATCACAGTCAACCAGAAGTTTACTAATGCAAAAGTTTATGCCATAGTAAACCAGAAATTTACTAAGAGATAGCACATGCCATGATAAACTTGAAGATTTCATTTGCCATTTTTAAATGAGCTATTTGAGAATTCAGATAAGCATAAACTGAAGAACTAGAAGATTCTTCAAGAATTCTCTTGTGTTGCTTGTTCTCATAATAAATTGATTATACCAGCTAAAGTTGGGACTAAGACCCCTGATTTTGAAATATATAAAAGGTGAATATGGGCCCATTCACCTATTATGTGAACCACTTATAGATGCATATATGAGATGGTTACATGTGTAATTATTGTCAACCTACAGTTTGGCATTTGGAATTGCTTTTCTCGATTAAGAGCATAATTTTCAGATTATGAAATCAAGACAGTTCATCTCAATAATGCTGGTTTATATCCAAGCTAGTTTAGCATTGAATACCTCATATTAATGGCTAAACCATTGCTTATGAGAACAAAGCTTCATGTGCTGGTCTAAGATTTTCTAAATTGCATATAGCACCACTTGTATGCATCAGACCAACAATATATGAATAAGTCCTCCTCTCACAATTGGTTTAGGATCAGAAATCAAATATTTTTACTATCTTTTGATGTGTGGTATATGATTAATTTCTCTACCACAATACACAAAGATATGGTTCCCAAAGAAGATTGGGGATATATGTTAGTTTTTCTAAAATTTGGGGAATGTAATAAACAGTTGAAAAATATGCTACATGAATCAAATTATCATTAATATGATCCTCACTTAGAAGATAATTCAAGTCAAATGACAGAAGCATTTGTTGATCCAAAATTTAATACCATATTTTAGCTGCAAATGCTCCTATTAAAATTAAAGTCACTGAAGGATAGAGTTTACTGTACGCATGAAGCGTGGTAGACCAATCGGTTCCAAAGGTAACAATCCTTGAAAAAATAGTAGGAGCTAATGATTAAAATGATCATAATGAGGAGGAAATAAACTCTAGAATATGCCACAACATAACATTTCATGAAACTCCCGAAGAAGTTCAGGTACCTGAAAATAAAGAAAGTGATGAGATCTCAACAAGTTATGTCACTTAGGAACTGATACAATATGATCGTCGACGATATATTTGATACAATATAGTGCATAATATTGTAAAAGATTATGAGGATCGGACCAGCAGTCGAGACACTTGAAGTTATCATACCATTTAGATACAAGTCATAACCTATATGACTTATTTGATTAAATCTATATGAAGATCCTTGAAGGATTTAAAATGTCTGAATCATATAATTCAAAGTCTTGAGAAATGTACTTGATCAAATTATAAAGATCTTTGTACGGTTTAAAGCAATCTGGGCGCGTGTGGTATAATCGCCTCAGTAAATATTTGCTGAAAGAAGATTACATAAATGATGTTATTTGTCCATGTATTTTATAAAGAAAATGTCATCAAAATTTGTTATACTTGCTGTTTATGTTGATGACATAAAATTTGTTGGAACTCCAGAAGAGCTCCAAAAGGCCATTGAATATTTTAAGAAAGAATTTGAGATGAAAGATCTTGGAAAAATAAAAAATTTGCCTTTGGTCTGCAAATTGAATATTTAGCAGATGAGATCTTTATCCATCAATTTGCCTATACAGAAAGGGTCTTTAAATGCTTTTTCATGGACAAAGCGCACCCATTAAGTACATCAATGGGTGTTCGATCACTTGAAGTGAATAAAGATCCGTTCCGACCTCCAGAAGAGGATGATGAACTCCTTGGTCCTGAAATACTCTATCTCAGTGTGATTGTTATGCATTTATAAGTGGTGCAGATCGTATTGGTTATGCAGATACAAGATTAGAATGCGGAGACTCAAATATTTGAAACAAGGTTTTCATCAGGGGGAGTAAAATATACGACGCACTCTTTTTTCCTTACTAAGGTTTTTTCCCACAGGGTTTTCTTTATAAGGTTTTTAATGAGGCACCTAGCAATGCGTATTACTAAATATGTATACTCTTTTTCCTTCACTAGGATTTTTTTCCCATGTGGTTTTTCCTAGTAAGGTTTTAATGAGACACATTATCTTTTAATGAATATCCAAGGGGGAGTGTTATAAATATATTATATTATGGATGTTCATTTAGTACTCCATTGTAAATAAGCTTCCTGAAGAAGTTTATCCATATGGGACTCCGTCGTAAATATGTTTATCTATTTAGTACTCTATTGGAAACAAGCATCCTGGAGAAGCTTATCACTTCAGTACCCGGTTATGGATAAACATTACGCCCGGTAGAAGATTATCCATACCGGGTATAATAAGTTTATCCTTTCGATACTCCGTTATGGATAAAC